GTCCTTACAGGGAATCAGACTTACTCTGCTCACCTCTCTAGCTTCAACAGCACAAGGTCTGCTTCCACTATCAAGGCACCCCGGGAGTAGCACGTCACAAGAGAGTGACAAACATACAAAAGAAGTAGAGGAAAATGACAATAGTAAGGATGAGGAAAGAAAAAGCAGCAGTTCCCTGCTGCAGATCAGGCACAGTTACGAGCGTGACATGATGAATCAGCCCATTTACAATTCTACTGTGCTTGAACGAGAAATGTCCCCCCTTTGAGAATGACCTAAAGACACTACAGTCAGTCACAGTGGCACTGCCCCGGGGGGTTTAAATTCTAGTTTAGTAGTGAACCTTAATTTGCTTTACTAAACACATAGAGGTTTATCAGAATACAAAACATATTATATTATATATCCAAAAGTGACTCTTGTTACTTAAAGAATACATGTACAATAACAATATCATTGACAAAAATGCAATGTATATAATTTTACCCCAGGGAACTGATAAAAGAGACACACATTCTCAGGGGCGAGTTCCTAGATCTAATAGGGAAGAAAAAAAGGTTTCGGATAAAAACCTTGAGATATACATCAACATCCCAAAAACAATAAATATTACAACATTATCTAATTTTTTTCTTCTTGTAGCTGTTTTTACGTCCCTGTCGACACAATTTGGATCATTTTAGAGGCGGGCTTCTGAACCTGCCTGTCAGGGCCAACTGGGCTGAGAGGGATAAATCATCACAGCAGAAAGGCCGAGTTATTCGATAAAACTTATCTCTCCACTCGGGAATCGAACTTGGGTCTCTTTTGTGCTACAGCCAAAAGCCTATCCACTAACTACACCACTAACACAGGTAGAGTTATGTAAGGCTGCTCAGAATGAGATGAAGAAAATTACAGCTGCTGTCCATCTAAAAAATGGACAATTTTTTTTTGGTCAATACAAAATAATATTAACTTTTGATAGAATTCACGTCTATTTAGGCTATTCTAAATTTTGATACAATACTTGTTTTAATTTTTCTTTATTGTAAAGCAGTGGAAAAATGTTTTGCATCTTGCATTTCTGCAATAGGCTATATGGAACCAAAATAAGTCCACCTCTTTTTCTTAAAGTAGGTAAATTTTTACGCCAACTCTGGCTGAAAGGGATACAGCATCCCAGCAGAAAGACTGACATACTCGATAAAAATTCTCCCCACCCAACAATCAAATTCAGATCTCCTGCAAGCAACGGCGAAGTGCCTAACCGCTACATCTGCCTGGGTGCTCATATTTGCGCTATCGTAGCCGAAGCACAACAAACATTCCTCCCCTCTGAAACAGAAACTACGACTCAGTGTCCGTAATCTAGATCTAGTTTGCCTTGTCTTAACCTCTTAGCATTACAGTCAGTGGGTAGAATTTACTATTTAGGTTTTGGCAACTGAAAGCCAAATGTGGTGATTTAGTCAAATGCAAGTCTCATGAATCACATAGAATCTAGATCCAACGAATCACAAAAATCTAGTATAATGTAGGCCCTGTCCATTTTAACACAGGTCCACAGGGGTTCTTAAGTCTGTTTTAAAGAATCTATCCATATAATTTATAATTTATACACAGGTACAATGTATGTGTGTGTATATTTTTTTTTTAGCACAGAGACGAGAACATAACTGAATGGGAAAGGCGCTGTAAAAGAATCTAGGCCTTGCTAACTGAATACCGAATGTGGTGAAGTGAGTCAAACAAAGTCTCCACACATCACACAGACCTAGAGTCACTTAATCACATAGCACAAGGAGGATTATGTATCCATTTCACCGAAATTCACAATAGCCCTGTGCACACTGCCTTATGGATTCATCGGATTGAGTTCGGGCCAGCCAGACTTTCTTGCGTGGACGAAGCAAAAGATACAATTTTGGCACATTTTCACTGAATTCAATTAAATTTTACGGAGACCTTCAAAATCAAACACGTTTATTTTCAAGGTTGCAAGTTCAATTGGTTATATTGTGCTAAAATAGTAGACTTTGCCCCTCCATGAAGGAAAACCTCGCTTAAAAGACAAATGGAGACTTACTTGAATTCAAAAAGCTCAAAGTCCCACTCAAGACATAATCAACGGCCTTTCCAAAATAACAGTATCATTTTCAAATGTACGGACTATAAAAGCAATTTAATAAAACATGATAATCAAAAGTTATTCCAAAATAACCATATCATTTTTCAAATGGATGGCCCATGAAAGCTCTTAAAGATACTTTTTCAATAAAGAATAAAAACCTTTTTCCTTGAAAGGAATACAAGGAATTAGTTTTAGATTTCTTATACTAAGTTATACCTTGCCATTAAAAGATTTGAATTAGAATTTGAAGATAAAGATCAGCATGAATACACATAAACTCAGCACATTTGTTTGTTTGTTTTGAGTAAAGAGAAGCACATCAGCACAATGACAGGGGGCTCTCCTGGTCTAGAGGTTAAGGTGTCCGCCTCTCAGTCAAAGGTCCCGGGTTTGAATCCGGGTAGCGACGGAAACATTTTCTTCTCTAAAATTGTCTCCTTCACCTCCTTTCCTGCTCTCTAGCAATGTTCTGTTGTCTGCTTTCGTCTCCACTTTCTGCCCCCACCCCCACACCTCCTTTGCCCCCTTCTCTGGGCTCCTGACTCTTACTGCAGCCTTTCCACTGCTACTCCTTGGCTCCTTCTTACTGCTGTCTTTCAGCCACACTCCTGATCTTCAGGTAGGAAAGATCTACACAACACATAGCCTTCTCAGACAAGGGCGAAAAATCTCGGAGGTCCCGTGTGCAAGTTACGCACGTTAAAGATTCCTTGATGGTCAAAAATCAATAAGAGTAGGCTTCGGCCGCAACCCAGGTAAAATTCTAAATTTCCTACCAACTGAAAATGGTTGGTGTGTCCTGTACGTTCATATGACCTTTTACAGTTGCGAGCGCCGTAAAACTCGTACAAAAAACCCCCCCAAAAAAACCACAATGACGGTCATTTGGAGCTAGGAAAGAGTAGCAGTAAGACAGACAGACAGAAACAACAGAGGGGCAATACAAAATTAAAACCTACCAGTAGCACCCTACAACCACCCATATTTCGAAAATGCACTGCACTACATAAAAATCTCCAACTATTTATGTAAAACTAACAAAGGTATTACATTCAAATTAAATATCATATTATTTTATATCACATGGGCATGGCAATATTCCTGCCTACTGGATTCGACTGAGAACTGGGGAGACAGAGATAATTACAATAAAAGCAATCCTACGCATATAATATACAATTACGCACATGACAACCTTTCCTAAGTTCCATCACAAATCAGTTTTAAGAAAAATTTGAGAAAAGCATGAAATTTACTTTTATCACAATCATTTATACTAATGCAATTGAACAAAAAAGTGATGTTGTCTTTGAAATTATTTTTTGAAAATAAAAAAAACCTACTGTAACCTTCCATTCAATGGGCAAGATAGTTGGACGGCGCAAAGTGTATACAATTTTTTTATAATTTCAAAGGTAAATTAAAGAAAATGATTTCTTTCTGGGTAAACATCACAATTAAGAACGTCATCTGTAAACCTATAACTTGGAACATAAAAACAAAATTTGGGTAGAAGCTGGCAGACACAAGTAATAACTATTGAGCAATGTTATTTTTTTTCTATGAATCTAATGCACCTTGAAAGGGGGCGGGGAGACAGACTATGTACATCACTTGGCTATTCTCAGTATGAGTAAAACTGAAAATTTGCTTGCGATCTCATTGAGATGTTGAATTGAACACAGTAATCTACGACGAAATATCTTTGCTTCAAAGAAATTATTTGAGACGAGATATTTTTTGACATCATTGTTTACAGTTTTGATGCACCAGGTAGAGAAGGCAAACTTTCACTAAAAATATCAGATAAGAACTTGTCCAAAGTTTCCACGTACTCCTCTGTGTGTTTCACCAGGTGCTGTGCATGGCCTGAGACATCCCAAAGCTTCACTTCAACAGGTACACCCTTACTTGTTCTCCAAATATGTGCAAGCTGCTCAACAACATACGCATCGACCATTGGGTCATTTCTTGACGCGTACATCAACGTCGGAACCGGTAAAGGCTCATCCCTAACAACAGTCAGAGATTTATCATAAAAGGCTACTGTATTCTTTTTGGTAAAGAACAAATACATTTTCCCAACGCCTTTAATTGTTAGTTGCACAACTCTATTTTTACTGGCAGATACAGCGATCCCATGGAGCATTCTGTTTGTGGCATGGACTGGTTTTTTATCAACTTCAGCTGCATCACTACCTTGGACTACCCCACCTTTGCCAGAACCACCCACAATACTGTCATAAATGAGTCCTCTGCACCTCCGCAAAATGCCACTGGGGTCATTCTCTCCTGCAGCCAACATTCTCAAGACGGTCATGTTGTAGGCTCCAACTGACATGGTATGGAGAAGGAAATGTTCATAGTTGTTGCAGTGCTCTGCTAGAACCTGGAGATGAAGTTAAAGTAAACGGGTTGAAAGCGAAAAAAGCTGAACTTCAAAGAAATACAGTGCAGACTGCACTTAAACCAAAAACAACCAATCTGAAAACTGTGGTAAATCGAAAGAAAAAATAGAATCCATGATTTTAATGCCTTCACTATTTAAAGCAATCTCTCCAAGCAGAAAACATGGCTAAAACAAAGAAAATTGTTCTGCAGATTTTGGTTTACACAGAGGTCATTGTACAAGGAAAATAACAAGATAATTGTCAGCCCAAAGGCACATGAATCTTTCAAGGGGACTAGAATAAGCCAGGATCTGTTTTATTGTTTCCTTATGTCATTATGTATCATATATTTTCTTCAATATAATATGTGCCTGGAGAAAGGTCCCAGTTGTCAGAAATTTTGGAAATTGAAATAAGGGCATATTCTTGTATCAAATTCAAGGCAGAGCACGTACTTGATTTCCAAAATTTTCAAATATTTTGAACAATTTTAAAGACATTCCGCATTTTGTAACACAGGGTGTAAAAACCAAGTTTGGAGAAAACCCCAATTTCTAGCACATTTTTAACCTTGGGTCGCAACATGTTGCAAAAATATATAATTAGAAAACATTTTGACTTAAAATATAAAATCCTTTCAATATGTTATTAAGAAAGGGTTGAACGAGACTTTTCTCCTGAAACTAAATTTTTGACCAGGTATGACTTTTCTAGCCTTTTCTGATCAAGGCGACTACTCATTGTCAAAGAGGAAAATGGTCATCTTAGGCAAGTGATCCTCTTGGGCAGTGTCATTATAATAGAGACAAAAATGTCAAGGGGAAATGGAAAGTGGTCGCTCGTACAGATGGGTCTTGCACAGATAGTCGTTAGTGCAGGTTCCACTCTACTTTTGGCTATTTAGGAGGCAGGTTTCTTCAACAACTTTTAGCCACTCATCTAAGAATGTAATGCTTGCACAAAAGTTTTTAAAAAACTGTGGAATATTCAAACAAACAATCAGATGACATACCTCCATTGTTTGCTTGCCAAATTTCTGTGCTTTGGGCGGCCACAGAAAGTCAGACACAACAGACTTGACAGTAAGAACATCAAGTCCCCTAGACAGGTACAAATCTCGGTACTTCTGCACATGCTTTTCTTTGGATCCCAACCATGGAAAAAACAGCACTAAGACTTTGGTGGGATCTGTCTTCCACTGCCATGATTCCCGAGACTTGGCAACATGCAGCTGATGCCTATCTGATAATTCAAAGGTGCTTGTCTTTGTTTCCAGTTTTCTGAAAGAATAAAGTATCAGCACCAATAAAGTATAATATTATGCAATGTGAAGTTCAAACAATGGCAACAGATCTGAAACACAAATCTCTTTGAAGGATAAAACTTTAGACAATAATTTTCAAACACATGAAAAAAAAACTTTCAAAGAAAAATAAAAGGGGGGGGGGGGGGGGGGGAGACAGACTGGAGACGGCATACAGACATTGTCATAAAACAAAACCACATCATTGTGTTTGTATAATGCATTCACAAAGAGTAGATCACATTACAGGAAAACGACGTGCGTCAGAATCCCATTGTGGCTAGTGGGTTGTCATAAGCCTTGACTCATCACTTATAAAATGCTTCGAACCTTACAGTAATAGAAACTTCAAATGTGACAGGGAGGAAATCCAGTCCTAGAAATGTATACACACATAAATGTACACATACTGAGTGATTCAGATACATAATTTAATATAGACCTCTCTGCAGCCTACTAAGAAAAAAGGACATCAAATTAATCAACACCAAACATTGCGTGAGAACCAATCAAGTATGAGAACAATACTAAAAACCACAAAACTGACACACACACACACACACACACACATACATGCACACATCTATGTCTTGACAGAAAGTATGTATGAAAACAACACTACAACCCACAAGACTGACACACATACACACATGACATACATACAAACATCTATGCCTTGATAGAAAACAAACACCTGTTTCATGAGACTCATTGACTTAATTCAATCTGATGGATCAGTTTTCACTGTTGTACTCTAGGCTTTTAGCACAACGGGGATAGTAAGAGCTTTGGCTCATTGAAAATGCATCCAGGGAAACAAATGACAGTGTTGAACATGATACCACATGGTACACTGGGTTGATGATGGCCTGTGCAAAACAGCTGATAATATTTTCAGAATAACAGCGGAGTCAAATTTTAGAAGTAACATGTTGTAAACAAAAAACTTTTAAAATATTATGCAAAATCAAGTTTGTGATGTAGGCCACCAAATACAGTTTTACTAGAACTAGAACAGCATGGTGCACTGTGGAAATATGAACAGAAAATTTAATTACAGCTCATACTTTAGTCTGATATAATTATATTCAAATGTTGAGCGACATGTTTTCAAATGACATTTTACATATTCTAACCAAAATCGAAATTTGGTCTTGTAAAGGACTTTTCAAAAGATCTGTGGATTGTATGTACATGGTATTAGCAATGGTTAAGTTATAGCAGTTCTTCTTTTTTGCTCTTTAGGAGAAAATTAAATTAGAGTTCTGAAAGACTAACTAACTTTTAGGATACAAAAGAAGAGCTAAACTGAATGTGAAGAACACTACTTGGGAAACATTTATTTTAGCTTTAATATGCTTCTTAGCACAGAATCATCATCATCCAGTGTCAGGTCTGAGACAGACATCAGCGACCATATGGTTCTCCATTCATTCCTTTGCTCAGATGCTCTTAAAAAAGCTATGTTTCCCTGATCTTTCCCTGTTACCCATTGGTTTAGGTTTCCTAAGTAGGTTGCTCTGGGCCTACCCCTGCCTCGTTTGCCTTCATTTTTGAAGCTAGATGTTCAAGACACTTATTAAATGTCTATTCAGGTGTCCCAAAAACTGCATTTGTCGTTTCCTGATTGTTTTAAACAGGGGGTGTCCCACATAGGCTTCATCAAGCACTACCTCATTTGAATTCTTTTCCTTCCACAAACAATACTCTTAACAGCCTCCTAAGAAAACACATTTCTGTAGCTTCTATTTTATTTTCACTCTGTCTTCAGTGACCAACTTTCACAACTATAATATATACATATATACATAAGAGAGTGTCAATATTGGTAAAATTTACTTTACTTTCCGATCCAGCGGCCATATCTAGGTTCTAGCCCTTCGGCCTGTCGATATGGTAAAGGATTTACAGGTTTTTATCAGCAGTGTTTTGTCGCTGTATGAAGTATTTCCAATATCTGGGGAGGCATGTAGGTGAGTGCTGCACAGGTCCGTAAGCGCATGGCAGGAAAAGAGATGGTGTGATACTGTTTCATCCTGGCAGTCACACAGCGGGCAGTCATGTGGGGTATCCTTGCGGATCCTATTTAAGTAGGAATTCAAGGGGATGAGTTGTGTTCCCAGGCAAAAGATAGTGACTTGCTCTCTTCTACTCAGGGAATTCAGTGCTTCTTTTGAGTTAGGAGAGGTCATGTGTGCAAATACAGCTCTTCCAGTTTTACCCAATGCCCATCCATTCAGCCACTGTTCCCTGGTGTTGCATTTGACGATGTTCTTGACTGTCTGTTGTGATACTGGGTTTTGACGTTGTGTTCGTGATACTCCCTTCTTGGCAAGGGTGTCTGCTCCATCGTTTCCTGGGATGTTGCTGTGGCCAGGTATCCATTGTAAAGTCAGGTCAATGGCATAGGTCTGTACGAAGGTGTTACGGTAATTGTTTGAACCACAGATAGGCAGGCTGGGCTTTCGAAATTAATGTTTTCTAAAGCTTGGAGAACTGATTTTCCATTAGTGAAGATTACAGTGTCCTTGATTTTGTTTGGATATATTTAAAAAAATGTTGATCAGGTGGAAGATTGCTGCCTCAATGGCGATGGCCTCAGCCTCATAATTTGTACAAGAAGTACCACAGGCATCAAACAGTTCTTCACACGTCCTGTCAGGATGCTCTATTCTTACTCTAAAGCCTACATTAATTGTTCCCTTGAAGGCTGACCCATGAGTGTAAATATGGATGGAATTACTTGAGTAGGAGTCAACTGTGTTGAGAGCTGTTGTCTTCAGTTCTGCAGCGTCACATTTCTTTTTCACTGTCTCCTCTTTATGAAGGAAGTTTTGATGCTGGCGTGTGGATTTTGCAAGCTGCAGTTGGAGAGGATCTCAAAGCTTCTGACATAAATCGTACAGCTTGATTCTGAATTTTGTCAAGAGACCTCTGAGTTGGTTTGCTGCAGATTGTCTGTAGGGTTAAGTTGTATTTCATGGCAGAGCATACATAGTCAACATATAGCTGTCCAAGTGCATCCTTGTCCGATTCCCATGAGGGGATAGCCAGCTGTCTGAGGAGGTTAAGTCTCTTGTTGGCCTTAGTCTTCAGGTACCAGATATGGTTTTTGCATGAAAACAGCCTGTCCAGCTCGATCCTGAGGTATGTCAGGTTTTCGACTTTTTCGAATTTGGTTCCTGCAAGTGAGATGGTGAGATTTTGCTTGGCGACCTTGTGACTTTTCATAAAGACGTTGTAGATTGTCTTGGTCACAATTTGCTTTCAGTTTCCACTTACAGCAGTAGTTGTACAATTTTTGTGTAAAACGAAATGAAAAAGATGGTACCATTAACTTTGCATGCCCAAAAATTTTTAAGCGCCTGATTCCACTATGTCGTGACACAAGCAGCTAGCCTGAGAGACAATCAAAAGCCTGATCACTTACACCTACTTGTGTGACAAAATAAAAAAAGTGAAACTATGACTAGAATCTAGAGATTAGTTTTTTTTAATAAATTATATTAGAATTCAAATTTTGGAAACACACTAGTCTTTTAAATAAAAATGATATTAGAATTGAAATTGCAGTAAAAACTCCTTTTTAAAAATAGTTACTCTGACAAAAAGCCTCTTTATCTCGAAACTGTTGTGAATTTTTAAAAAAGGCGCTTTGTCAGCTTACGGCTGTATAGACTAAGAGATGGATTGCCTTCTATAGATAGGCCTTAGCCTACTCATAGATTTAGATCTAGATCTAGTACCATTTGCATTTAACCATCTTGTTGTTGATCATCTCCTCACTGTCTGTTTGAGTCATGACACAATGGAATCAGGTGCTTTTAAATTTTTGTGCAAGTAGAGTAAATGACATATGACTAAACGCACGGCGTAAACCGGGCTATGATTGGCTGAACCTGTGATGACCTATGATTAAGTAGGCCTATGGTACTCTGGGAATTCCTGGTTTTGGTCTCGCTCCTTTGACAGTTCTTCTCACAGTAACAGCGGGTTGGCACACTCATGGAAGAAGAAGGAAAATTGAGGAGGAGGAGGAGGAGGAGGCGTAGATGGAGGAGGAGAAATAAAGAAGAAGAAGAAGGATGATGATGATGATGACGATGATGATGAAGAGGAGGAGGA